AGTTGACTTCAAAGTTGGATATTTTCATTTTTTTATTTTATATATTACTTCGAGTGTAACTTTTATATATTTACATTGTAAAAAAATTACTAATAACTGTTCACGATAAGTGAAATTAATATCTTAAAATATAAAATAGTTTACTTATTACAATCGGCAAAAATAAATAATAAAGCAATCAATCAGCTATGTATAAATTAAAGAAAAATACATAAGTACTCTCATAACCTATAGTGTGATTTCCAACTACACACTTTATCTTTGCGGGAATTCTATTACCCCCGTGAATTATTTTTAAATGTGTAGTTGGAAACCCGACTATAAGTCAGGAAGGTACTAATGCATTTTTCCCAAATTAAAACATATTCTTTTTAGGGATTAATAGACTCGTAAATATGGAGAAGATCACTAGAAAATAATTCATTTTGTTTGAAATAGTTTTCCCAACGTTTGCCTAATTTTTTTTGTTTTTAATAACAAGTTCCGCTTCTTTTTTCTTATATTTCTTATTTTAAAATCTTATTTGGGCCATTTTCCAAAAGGGAAGAACAATCTACAGTGCAAAGAAGGACAAGAAGAAAATCCAAGGAGTAGTGGATAGGCTGACTAATTCCCTTTGACATCGATTGAAATATTTATAGCAATGTTTTTTGTGATGTCATACATTAACTAAAGATTTTAATGACATATTTTAACATGTCATTAAAGAGAAGAAATTTAAAGTGAAAAAACTTTCAACTATAGAAAAATGTCAACAAATTAGATATGACATAACTCAACACTACATGTACTTGAATTAAGTGGGCATTTGGACATAAGAATTATAAAGTTCCGGAAAAAAGTGGAAAAAAATTTCAAGTGAAAATAGTACTTGAAAATTATAGTTGTTTTTGGGCATGAATATAATTTTGGGTCGTTTTTGAATTTTTGTGAGTGATCTAAGTGACAATTTTGAAAAACAGTTTTGGAGTTTTTTAAATTTTCGAAAAAATTCTAAAATTCATATTTAAGTGTAAATTAAATTTTTTATAACTATCTCGAAAAAAAGTGAAAATTTTCATAGTCACACGGGCTCTAAACTTCTTGATTATAGTTTGACTTAGTGGGTTGGTCGTTGTCCGACCCTTACATAACTTTTTTTTTTTTTTTTTTTGTGTAGAAAATATATTCATGGGATTGACCTAACCTACAACAGTATTAGGAATTAATGATAGAATATTATTTATCTAATTTACGGTTGACACGACTAGGACTTTAGTCATATCAGCAGAATAACACAGCAGGCGGCATGAACAAAAACGGATCTAGGATTCTTAGAATATGGGTGTGCTACTAAAAAAGGGAGAAAAAGGAAGTTGCTCCCGTTTGGCCATAATTTTTTTTAACTTTTTGTCAAGAATATTTTGGAAACATTGTATGGTTATAAAAAGCAACCAATTTTTGGGCAGTTTTTGAAGATGAATTTTTCAAATTTCATAAAGTAGTTTAGACTAGCTATTTTTAAAAAAAGTTCTATACAAACAAAATTTCAACTTCTGAATATATGAATATATGAATTTTTACTGCAACTTTATGATGGATATATGAATTAAAAGTGAGACCCTGTTGAAAATATTGATAAATAAAATATAAATAGAGAGAATAAATACAGGGGCGGCTCAACATTGTTGGTGGACTAAAGCAAAATTTTGCTTAGAGGCCTTAATTCTTTTTTTAAATATTATATATTTTTAGTTGAAGTTTTTTTCGCAACTTTTTCAGATGCAAAATTGTAAATAATTTTTTTAATAATTGGTTATTCTAATAATTCGTTTTAAACTGATAATATTGCTAATCCTATCCATTTAGTTTCTCGTGAGACATTGTCGATCCTATAAAAGATTTTATCAATTTAATTTGGAAAAACTTCTTTCCTGGGATGCAACTGTTATAGTGATATTATTCTATAAGGAATATAGACATTTGGAAAGAAATATCTTATTAAGTATATCAATTAGAGTCTTATCTTCTACTTATAGTATTTCCTTTAATGCTATGTAATATGAAAACTAAGTCTAAGCTATCATGTGACTATTATTTTTTTTTTTTTTTTTTTGATTTCTTACCCGGTATCCGGTACCCATATTGGGGCCCGACTAATCCGGATTCGCGCCGGGAAGTCCCACATTGGGTGTATAGCGCTCCCTAACAAAGGCGACTCCATACCCAGGGCTCGAACTCGAGACCTCTGGTTAAGGATGAAGGAGTACTTACCACTCCACGACAACCCCTGTTGGTGACTATTATGTTTTAATCGAGACTAAGTCAATATTTTTTTTGCTTTTTATCATTTAGCGATTTCAATTTTTTATCCACTAAATATATAAGTAAAGATATTTTTATACCATTACTAACAAATTAGAATTTTCTTTTTCTCTTTTTGTATTAAAAATTATATTTTTAACCTTAAGATAAAGAATTTTTTGTAGGCCTTCAAATTTTGGGCGCCTAAAGCCACTGCTTGGGCTGCCTTGACTTGGTAGGACCACATAACCTTTATTCAATCCTACCAAGTCTAAGTAATTTGAGATAAATTGTTGAACTCAACGAATTGACAACACAAGTCAAACTATTCCTAAATTTGTGGCGATTCAACTAAAACTTCAGCTGCGCTGACTTTAAGTTGCAAGGATCAGTAGGTCAACTGTTTCATTCTTTTCTACTCCCTCACTTCAAGGAAATTAATAAAAATAAAATACTTAAATCAGATAACAAATTTGTCAAAATTTTCATTTTGCTCAAGCGCGATATTAAAAGCCCGTTTGGACATAAGATTTTTTTTTATTTTTTTCGAAATTGTTTTACTTTTTTCCGAAATAAGTGTTTGGGCATAAAATTTTTAATTTTCACTTGATGATGAATTTTGGAATTTTTCAAAAATTTGAAAAACTCCAAAAAGCTGTTTCTCAAATGTTCACTCTAATCACTCACAAAAATTCAAAAACAACCAAAATTATATTCATGTCCAAACACAACTCTAATTTTCAAATACCATTTTCAATTGAATTTTTTTTTAACTTTTTCTTTTTGGAATTTTACAATTCTTATGTCCAAACCCACTTAATACTACATATATTATATATTAACTCTTCTTATTTTTCTCAATGTGTTTATTTTTTTATATTTTGACACCCTCTAGTAAATTTTTTGGCTCTGCCATTATTTACCTGTAGGAACAGTTGAATTTGTAATGTGGTTTATTGATGTTTCGCGAAAATGATATACTTTTAGTACATTACTCGCCCTATATTTTGTTTGTTTAGTGATTAATTGTGCGATATTTGAGCTAAATTATGGTGTTTTATGTGTAGGAGCATCGTAAGAAAGAGTTGAATGAAAGTTGCACGAAAAGAGAACGAAAATGCAAGAAGTGAACATAAAAACACCAAGCATCCAAACCTGGCTACAGGCCAAGCGTAGCCAACTCTGTAACTAGCTTTACCGTGCTACAGGCCAGGCGTAGTTAGGCTGACCGTGCTATAAGCCTGCCCTCGTGAGGTCTATAGCTCGGTGATCAAAAGTGCGTAAACTAAAAGACTCCGATCCGGATTTGGACTTTGAGACTTCAATCCTAGCCTATAAATACTCCATAAATATGTCTAAGAAAGAGGGGGCATTTTTTTTAGAGGGGATTCGACCTAAGAGGCAAGAAAACACTAGGAGCAAGGGGGAGAATTCTTCTACGAGTTTTTCACTTCCTTTTTTCTATTTTCATTATTGGTTATGAATTCTAATATTGTACGTGCCAAGCCTAACCTCAGTCGAGTAGTGACGAGGAAGGTCAGGGCCCTACTGAGGTTAAAGGTTGAGATGTGTGTATATTTGGTTTGGAGCCCCGAGGGCTCGAGTGAGTTTTGGATAGGCTACGGGGTGCATTTTGAACTTGAAAATTGCAGGATTTTAGCTGGTATGAACAGGCCTGC